AATTAACAGAATATTTTAATGTAGTGTAGATCAAAATAAATAATACATTTGTAGGTTTACTATTGAGGTCAAGAATGTGTGTATTCAGTTAGGTGTGTAATAAATTGTGCCTATTTAATTATGTAACAGGTCATGAGATATTACATGTGGTGAATTAAGACTGGGTTGTTTCCAATTAATACTTACACCTTTGAGTGTAATTATTTGAAAATCATGACAGTTTATAATCATACTGACTCTTACTTGCCTATGGAAAGATTTGGAGTAATACCATTTCAAAAAAGTGTGGGAATCAACTTCGATATATTAACACACATGTTGACCTAAATTTCATAGAACAAAAACTTACACAAGCATAAGATAATAATATAATACTTTCAAACTTGTTATCAACTGATTCAATTGATGTAAAAATACTTTTTCAATTTATTTCATAAATAGTAAATCATTATAAATTTTGATAAACAAAGGAACTATATGCAAGTGTATATCTAAAATAAAAGGGTTGTTCGACCAATCTTTTCTTAATTTAAGGGCAAATAACATGTCAAAAGTTGGCAGTTGATGATTAAAATGGTGTAGAAAGTTTCTGCAAGTCATAAAAACACATAATCAGTTTCATAACATGTCTTCAACTTCGTATTCTGCACCATCTCCAAAAACAGAGTGATCGCATAGATCCAGCATGGCTGAATAAAAAAAACCTAAAATTTAAATAATACAGAAATGAAGATCTCCACCCAGACCCCAATAACTAAGTTCAAAGTGCAGGTATAAAACAGCTATGTTAATCTCCACCCAGACCCCAATAACTAAGTTCAACGTGCAGGAAAAAGCTATGTTAAGATATAAAAAGTGCATCCAATGGATTTTTCTCAAAGATTAGAGCTGGCCCAGAATTAAAAGCGTACAGCCTTTAAAAACTGTAATATTAGGATCTTCTGACTGGTCTTTTAGTATAGTCATTTCCATTAATAATTAAAAAACTGGCATGGTTTCCCAAATGACCAGATTTTTATGTAGGTTGTATAGTTTTAAAATATTTTTTTAATGAATATCTTATCTCTTTCAGATCAAATATTGATATAGTTAAATTTTACCTATTATCTACATGTACAGGCAAAAATAATAATAAGCCCAAATGAAAACTTGACTCTTTAGGTAAGATTTTTAGCCGAAATGATACCATGGTCACGCTTATGAATTAGCCCTTTAAATCAGGAATATTATTATCATTATTAATTACTTAAGCTTATATCAAGGATTTATTTAGTAACACTCTTATATATACAAATCCTTGCTTATATTTTACTTTTATGACAACAATGTAAATTTCTAAAACTTTTTAAGGTTCAGAACTTCATGACAAAAGGGCAAAAATGGCTGTGTTTACACCTAGAAATTTCCTTATAGAACAGACAAACCAGTTGTAAAATTTTTAAGACATATCATCTTCTACATACATTTATGAGCAGCGTCGGATAGAAATCAACCTTATGTAAATGAATATCAATACATCTGTTAACCTATTTGAGTTGAAAAAATCTCTATTGAAAGTCTGTAACTGTTTGAAGATTGAGCTGTTATAAGAAAAACCTACAAAACAGATCAAAATTCATCTTTTATTTCGTATTTGAATGCTCCAAAATATCAAAGTCTTATACATGTATATGTACCGGTACATGTATACGTGCACTTGCATAAGGTCGTGTATACGTGCACTTGCATAAGGTCGATTTCTATATCAGACACATGTACAGCTCATATATATAAAAGTTAAATTTTCATTTTGTGTTTGATAAAATCTTTTTTTATAATTTTGATTGGGATATTTTCCTTCCTGCAGTAGGTGCAATAATAAAGTAAGTTGGGTAAAATCATTGAGATGCCCCCTCTCAGGTAACAATTGTATTCATGTTTTATATATATTGATTGATATGGATATTATTTGGATAATAGGACAATAGATACATTTTGTACATTTGTATCTCCACAATAGATGATATAAACACTTTTAACAGGGTAACTGAGTGGACAGTATCAAATATTATTCAGCTGTTTGCCTATTTTACCATCAACTGCAGTGATGGAAAAAATAACCATCAAAATCCAAAAAATATTGTTTTTCTTTCTGAAACACAAATTTTTGAGGTGTAACCACACATGCCACAGTCATTTTTGTTTATTTTTATGATGAAGCTTAAGCTTGAATTAAAATTCAGTTAGATTATCTGCCTATATTCAACAAGAAAATTTCATTTAAAATAAAAGAAGAATGTGTCTGAGGACACCAATGCCCCCGCTCAAGCTTGCTTATAATATGTGATAATACTTTTGGGATGGACGGACAGATTGTCAAGGGTAACACTTAATTAATAATGCCCCTTTGCCTTGTGGCGGGGGCATAAAAATCAAGACTATATGATAAGTACTGGTCGAGGACAAAGGATCTCGAAATATTTTCACACAATTTGGGTCATTTTATGATGACTGGAAAGTTAGGGTCCTTTTTTCTAACTGTTGACATATTACTCACACTACATTCACAGCATCAACAAACTTATATTAATGTTTCATCACATTTACTTCATGAAATTTATTAACATTTCTCTTAAAAGGTTCAAGAACAATTTATTGAATGCAAGTTAAAGATTGAAAGATTTTAATGACTTAAAAAACTATATTTCTCAGGAATCCCCAACGCTACACTACTTTCGATTTTGAAGACAAAATAAAAACCGGAAGTTTCAAGTTAATGATTCTTTATGAGTGATTCCAGATTGTTTTTGGATTGGTACTGTTTATTAAATGGATGGAAATCATTGTTATTTTTAATTTAATTGCATTTAATGATTTAACGGTTAAGTGTCTAATCTGGTGAAGACAATTTCACACATGAGTATTACTTACATGTAGTAAATAAAGCACATGTGTAACTCGTGAAAAATTACTTTTTTCTATGTAATTCAAATAAGCTTTAATTCTTAAATCAGAACTGGTGATTGTCTTTGCTGAAAAATGATTAAATAATGAGGTAAATTGTCACAGAATAGAATTTCTTTCAAATATTAGTTCTGATATTGTTCACTATTGTCAGGTATGAAGAGGTAAAAAGTGATAAGCGATCATTAGCTAATATCTCCCAGAGTCATTAATATGATAAATAGGAGGGCCCTCAGAATTATCATATACTGGAGTGGCAGTTTTATTACTGGAAAAGCATTTCAAAACAAAAATTAATTTCAAAATGGCGATAAAGAAACCTGATCTCTATAAAATAACCGAAATTATTTCTGTAAAAAAATGTATTTGACCTAAATCCCAATAAATATTTTCATGATTTTGGTCTATGACCTTTCAGTTTAGGTCATGTTTGGCAAATATGGCTGTTTCCAGACCCTTGTCCAGGACCATGCAATTACTGTCAGCTACCAATACCATCACCTGCCATTTTATTCAAAAACAGAAGCATTGTGTAAAACCAACTGACTGCTGATATCTACAGACAAATATTTTTACTTCATTTGTAAAAACTGTGTTTTGTTTGAATCGATTAAGATAGGAACTTGCCAAATTTTCTGTAAATAATATGTGTTGTTGGAAGATACACATGTGGGGACATGACATCATCGCTTTATGAATTTTGGAAAGCAATATCTGACCATGCTTTAGAATATACTTTTTGTTTAAAAAGAATTAAAAAAGATTTATAGTTTTTAAAATTTATGTCTATACGTGTGACTCTCTTCAATACATATAAGTGGTTCATCTTCAAGTGACATAAAGATCACATTCAGAGCAGGAAGGAGACCTTCCAAATTAATAGTCAGAATGGCAATGTGTTTGGTTCAATTGACATACCTTCTGTTTGTATTGCTACACGAAAGCAAAATATAACATTAATGTCCCAATTAAATGTACACAATTATGTATACTAATGAACGAATTATAGTTATGATATCTCGTACCATTGCAAACTGGTACCAATGTCAACTCGTACCACTAAAAACAAACTCGTACCACTGCAAACTCGTACCACGGTAAATTTGTACCATTGCAAACTCGCACCAACTTATCTAAATGCATTCAAATGGTGTTTAATGACGAATAAATATTTAAATTTCACTCAATACCTCATAAGTCTGTAAAAAGTATATAATTTGAAATCACAATGTCTGACAATGACCAATTTGTAGCTGATTTTTCCTTGGCTAATGGGATTAAGAAAACTCAAGGATATGTGGCCTACTTCGATTCGTCCTACTAGGGATGACTCGAGTTAAAAGATCAGTGCTTATGCGCATGTGCGCAACCTTTCCGAATCGAAGTCAAAACTCTCAAAATGGACGATATTATTGAGGAAAATTTGTGAAAAAAAATTCGTTCCGAGAAAAAAAAACATCCCCCACCACCCCAACAAAAGATGAATTGTTGGTTCCCTTAAATTAGCTTTCTGATAAACGGTCTAGGTGTATTGAATTGGTTACCGAGCAACGGACGGACAGACAGTCAGATGGAGAAAATTACCATATCCCCTTCAGTGTGATGTGCTGATGTATCAAACACTCCCGTGTAAATGTACGCCAAGAAGGGCCCCCTGCCCTCCCCCCCCCCCCCCTAAATCCGCATCTGGTAAGTACTTTAATTCAGTCACGGAACCGCTGATGTATTCTAGTATATTTTTAATGGTACGAGTTTGCAGTGGTATGAGTTCACAAGGGTACGACTTCGCAGTGGTACGAGTTGACTTTTAGTGGTACGAGTTGACCTGGTACGAGTTTGCAATGGTACGAGTTGACTTGCTTCCTTAATGAACTCCAAAATATTAGGCACGTCTATGTCATGTATGTTCAACTAGACAAAAGGTAAATCCAGGAAATATTTCACTAGGTCGAAAAGTACATGAGGATATAGCTGTCCGTTTAAAAAATAATAAATTGAAATAACCAAGAATAAGTATATATTAAGATCCTTGTTACACAAGAAAAAAAAATACAAACCGAAAGGGAACATAATTTGAACGGGGAGTGAAACTAGTTTGGATTTGCTTTCACTTGTTTCTGTATGAACGAATACCATATGTTGATCATAAAATAGAGAACAATAACGGACAATAAATCAAAATAAATCAAAACAAAATTCAGTTATGTTATCTAATTATTTCTCATGAGGTAGAATTTCGGAAATTATCAGATGATTTTTTGCCAACACCAAAGACGAATAAACTAACGAAACTAAATTAATTTTCCTAGTGAACTATCAACACTGCGCTTTTTCATTCATTTGTGTTTTACAATCATGGACCCAGATATACATACATCACCTAAAATCAGTCAACCTGAAATTGTCCACGTGACGCACTTTCAGGCAAAATGAATCAATTTTAATCACGTTTTAGTTGGAAATTGTCAGTATCTATATTGAAGGGGTGGACAGGGGTAAGGGAACATGGGAATGACGGTGCGGGAGTCGGGAGTCACGGGGCGGGAACTGAAAGAAGAGGGGGAATAGACTTCGAATAGTGATATGCTGGACATTTTTTTAACCAATTTTCGTCTCGGAGTAAGGGGTAGGGAAGTGGGAGTAGGGGTGGGAATTGGGAGGAGTAGGGTGAGAAAAAGTAAAATAACAAAAAACGATACCGAACTCTGACAACGAAATCAGGGATCCCCTGTCCACCTATCTATACTGTCGATGCTATAAAATGATAAAGCATGTGAATGTTTCTAACAACGTCAATCAATCATGACTACGTATGTACTGGGGGAGATATAATCCATTATCATGTGCTGCTTGAATGTTGCTACATGAAAATGGAACGTTCCGAAGGGAAAATTGAAGTATTTTTTTTTGTAAACGTTTGTACTCGATTTTAAATTTAATGGGGAAAGAGACTTGTTAACAAAGCACAAATTCTCCGTACCTCAAACATTTTGTATCTATGTTGGCCATTTTATTTTATGAAGCAATGTTGGGCTAATTTTATTTATATTTCTAAGTTTAAAACCAGAAATACATGCGTAAATTGTGTAAATGGAAATGTTAAATACTATTGCACGAGGAGAAGGAATTTATTTGCATGTACATTCAACAGAAATTCGATTTTTTAAGGAATCCTCACCAGTCTTTTTAAAACTTCCTTTAAAGTAGATGGTTTCACAGTAACTATGAAGCTCGGTTTTAATTATTGTTGGAACTTGCCGACGTAGGTACCTTTGAAAGAAACTTTGTGTTAAATTTGGCAGACCCTCAAATATTGCCTGTAAAGTCATCAAAGTTTTTTTTTTATTTTCGTATGCAGTGGAGGGTCTTTGATTGAAATTTCAAAGGGACATTTAATAATGTCTAGGATTATGAAATCTTCATAGTAAAAGTGTAATAATACAGAAAACAGACTGAGTAATAGAAATATGGTAATCCCCAGACTTCTCCCGCCCTTCAATCAAACCCTTGCCAAATTTGCCGAAGAGGGGCATCCGTTTTGCTGTGTTTGCTGTATATAATCGCAACCACGTCCGGTCAGATTTAGGATGTTCAGTCTGATACCTCGTGTAGGATGACTGCAATACACGTTCGCTTCACGATAAAGAACCCTAGCAACGACTCCTTGAGAGGTCCATAGGTTGCCTGTTGCAAGGGAAAATATCTTCCCCTATCCAACATACTCTAATTTTCCAATGGCAGATAAAATTTCCATCCAATCATTCCAGTCGACTTACCTAGCAGAATCTACCTATTGTATTGATTGTTAATTAGTTCTACGCTCTCGTCCTGAATTTGCATTAGCAATCAATCAATCAATCGCACATTTGGTTAATTTTATTTTTATTTATAAACCTTCAATCCACACTAAAATAGACACAATGAAGCAATTGAGGTAGCGTTGTTTGGGCTGGGTGGGGAGGAGGGGGACCATCTTGCCTCGATATGTGGCCGATTTATTTACAGGTGTCTAGCCTGTGTATAAATAACGAGAAATAATGTGTCAATTTATCTCATCTGTGAAATCATTAATTATGTGCATTTCAAGATGTACATGAAAAAAAAGAAGTGCGCGTACTGTGTTAGGACGATTTTTCTGTGCACGTATCTTAACATTCTTTCATGCAACCATCAGTTTATACTTGAAAGTTGCAAGCAGATAGAATAAAACACGTGCGCAATTCATAGAGACAGTCAAAAGACTATTAAAAAATAATCATTTTTTTTTTTGTTGTTTATTATGAAGATTTCAGATTCCTTCTAATGATTCGTGAAATTTTGTGTATATATTATTAGATACACCTTGAGGCCGTTAGCCCGAATGAGTGTATCTAATTTACACCAAGATATTATTGTCAATGCAGAATGATAGTTTTCAGTAATTGAGGATGGGGTCTTTTTCAGCGATTTGACCATATGCTATTAAAAAGCATGACTAATAAATTTCATTTAACGACATCTTGGTGTAAGTAAATATAAAAATAATGAGGTGTGGTATGCTTGCCAATGAGACAACTATCCAGTATATAACAAAAAACCTAGCATGTAAACAACTACATTTGTATTTATGACGAATGGTAAACTTTTAAAGAACCTTGAATAGCAAAAATGAAATTATTCAAATTGAAAGGAATAACTATTGAAACAGTTATAAAAGAGGGCAATCAATGACAACAATTGGACTTATATGCTAGTACTATTAAACTGCGTTATAAATTCAAAATCGGACTAGTAATTTATGTATTTAATGGGCCAAACCTTTCCTATAAACTCGGATAGGGAAACAATTGTGCATCATGTCTTTACTCTTTATATTTATGCACGCACACGCCTCAAAGTATCTTTAACAAATTGAAACAAAAAGCAAGTTGATTATTTGTCAATGGGTTTCTTTACTACCATCCCTTTATTTATATGTAAAGAGTCTCAGTATTAAGTCAAAAGACATATTTTTTACAGATCCCTCGTAGAAATACAAGCATGTACGCTATTCCAATTAAATTTAAATGATGATGATATATAGAACAGATAATTTTGATAGTAGTAGTGAGGGGATACTATGTATATTATCGGATTTGAATTTACCTGACAATCCATGGTATCTATTAGGGAGAGGGGGAGTCAGCTAGCTGTGAAATGAACATACCTTGTCATGATATATAACTAAATTAGATGGAAGCCCCGTCTAAAAAAAAGTACAAGATTTCGACACACAGAAGTAAACACCATCAGTCACAAATGTGATCGTGAGATGATATTATGTAACTGCGTAATGGAGTGGAATGGACTTATTGATTACACAGGGACACGAAAATTAAAAAAAAAGATTTCTTCAATTACAATAGAATGAAATATTTTAGTATCAGTCACTTGTAATTAAGTGTCCTTATTATTGATGGCAGATCTTTGATCTGTTGAAACTGTTCTGGATGCGATTCAGAGCATGTGATCTATAATGTAGTAGGGTCTGGATGGAGGGGGGAGGGGGAGGAGGGGGTGCGGTGCTTCATTTCTGTTTTTTTAATTTTTCTATGCCAATTTTCTCTATTCTTTATACTTTTTGTCCATTATTCTTTATTCTTTATATTTTAGCACCTCATTAATCTCTATTCTTTTTTTTTGTGTCCATTTTTCTCTATTTAATTGTTGTTGGAACTTGCCGATGTAGGTACCTTTGAAAGAAACTTCTTGTAAAATTTGACCGACCCTCAAATATTGCCTGTAAAGTCACCTTTTTTATTTTCGTATGAAGTAGAGCGTCTTTGATTGAAATTTCAAAGGGACATTTAATATTGTCTAGGATTATGGAATCTTCATAGTAAAAGTGTAATAATACAGAAAACAGACTGAGTAATAGAGATATGGTAATCCCCGGACTGCTTCCGCCCTTCAACCAAACCCTTGCCAAATTTGCCGAAGAGGGGTGTCCGTTTTGCTGTGTTGGCTGTATACTAGTATATTCGCAGTCACGTCCGGTCAGATTTGTGCTTCATTTCTGTTTTCTTTAATTTTTTATGCCATTTTTCTCTATTCTTTATACTTTTTGTGCATTATTCTCTATTCTTTATATTTTAGCACCTCATTATTCTCTATTCTTTATTTTTTTGTCCAATTTTCTCTATTCTCTATATATTTTGTCCATTATGCTCTATTCTTTAAACCCCCATTCACACCTCCTCTTGTATGAACGGCATACCATTTTTCTAACAAAACAATTGCATATGCATTAGATCCAATTAAAAAACAAAACCGCTTAGAGCATAGTTGTAAAGTAAAAAAAAACAAAAACCGTTCAATTTTATTTTTTGCCAAAGGTTTTGACAATATGCTTACTAAGGTTGTTTTTGTGTCAATTCTTTAAAAAATTTGCCTGCAATAAAATTGAATAAAATAAAACTATGACCTCGACATTACACGATATCATGTATTTTCTCACTTTTATATATGTCGTTGATGTCTGAAAGTGCAGCCACCGATTAAAAACAGGTGTAAGCAATAAGCGGGTGTTTAATAAAGTAAGATAGCCCTTAAAAAACTTAATTGTATAGCCTTGTAAATTGTTCGTGGGGTCCAATACAATACCTAATTGATAGGGGGTGCCGCTTGAGTTCTGTTACCCCACCCTTTTCATATAATTAAAATTTAAAAAATGTATACCTTAAAGTTTTCATATATTGCGTAGGTAAAAATGTAACCTTTTCCCATATTGGTAAATATTACCTTTGCTCGGAGATTCCTCGTGTAATGTTTACATGCGGCGAGACTTTCGGCTGTGAAAAAAATACAGGGCTTTTCATATAACAAGTAATGGGAACTTTATTGACCTAATCATATATTTCTGATAGTTTTTCCCACCTATTCACATATTTTCAAGCTGAAAAATGTGACCTATTCCAGCGGCACGTCCTATCACCGTGCATATAGGAAGTGGCCCCCGAGGTAAATTGCATGGACTAATACAAAAATATGTACACTGTAGATTGATTGATGATCGCTTAACATCGGAAAAAAATCAGAATATAAAGCATCATTC